AAGAAAACCCCATAAAAGAACGCATAATAAAATATACATCTACACGTAGATCTAGACATCAATAATAGCAAGGTGAGGGAGAACAATAGCTCAGTTGAGATAAGGAGAAAAGAAGTTTTATTTTCTTTACCTAAAGAGAGGAGAGGAAGAAGGGAGCTGTCTGGTGGGTAGAAGGTAGAACGGGACAGAAACAAATAATGACAAACAGTAAAGGAGAAACATGGAAGACAAGCTGCTGTTTATGAGTATATAATGCTTATTTGACTTATTCAAAGAGGGGGGGGGGGATAGATAAAGGAGGCAAGGGAGACAAGGGAGGGAGAGAAAGAGCCAGAGAGGGAGAGAGAGAGAGATAGAGAGAGAGAGAGAGAGAGAGAGAGAGAGAGAGAGAGAGAGAGAGTCTAGCCACGTGTCAGCCGCCGAGGGCAAACAGGAGAAAGCACGGAGCGTACTGTTAACCTCTTCACAGCCACGGCGGTCCTACAACTCTACAACATGTACATGATGTACGTAACACAAGACAGGCACGGGGCAGGAGCAATGAGAAAGGGTTAACCACAAGGGAGCGTATCATAGATCCTTCTTACAGACCAGCGCACGTCCCGGGGGAGGGCTGGCGTGAGCGGTTGAAAGACGTAAGGTAGTTGTGGTAAACCCAAGATACAACATGTAGTACTTACCACCAACTTGGGTGGTGACGTCGACCTGTCAAATGAGCGTTGATTAATTTGTTCCGTTTCGGTTTGGGTCGAAGATTACCGAACACCAACCGTTTCGAAATTTTGGTAATTTTCAACATAGTTTTTGTTGCGGTCCTTAAAAAAAAAAAAATTAAATCGAATCGTACCACCCGCTCCATTCCCTATGTTCTTTGTTTTCCTTTGTCTGTGAGCCATAGCAATATCTAATTAGGAACAGACGCCACTTCCCAACCAAAAACACCCCCACTCTATAATATTTCTCCAAAACCTTTCCCTTTTTCCTGGTCGAACGACAGGGACAAAAGTGGGAGTGGGAGATTGGGGGGGAAAAGGAGGGAGGGGGGGGGGTCCCAAACCAAAAATATACCAGCTTACAGAACCACAGCTTTGGCGGACAGGATAAGAAGGGATAGGTGAGAACACGAAACTCATACCACAAATCCACTCTGTATTACCACCTTATGGAAAACATCGACTTGGGCGTGTTGTCATAATACACGAGAGCCGAGCCGAGGCTGAGGGGAGCGAAGTGAACGGCAAGGTGGGATCGGGGATATATTACATGAACATGTATTAGGGTAAAGGGCAAATAAGGGACAGGTAGCTCGGTCCGCTGAGGTGAAATAGCTGAGAGTCCAAGAAGGCAAATATTAAAATAACAGTGATCATATTGTGATCGTGTGGGTTCTCTTTGTAGGGGGAAATGGAGGGAGGGAGGGGAGAGAGGAGAGGGGGGAGAAGGAGAGAAAGAGAGAGATATACAAATTGGAAGAGAGACAAATAGATATGGAAAAGG